AGATAACGTGTCGCCAGATGGCTTCGCCACGACAACTCCGTACAAAGCCACGCACTCATCGATGTCGCTGTCCCTGACCTCCCAAATGCAGAGCCTCTGCCTGGACTCGCGTGACGCATCAAGGTACATGAACAAGTCAAGGCATGCAGGGTCTTCTATGCAGTAAGCGTCCACCACGTCATCGGTCGGGTCGTTCCATGGTTGCATCAGTTGGGCGTGTACCACGAAAGTTTCGTGATCTGGCTGCTCTGTCGAAACTGTCTTGATCAGCTTCGGCTGCACCTTCAAGCTCAACAACTGAAAGAATATCTTTCCACGGTGGTCGTCAGGGTCGTCATAGTCAAGGTCGACTTGCACAGAGTAGTAGCGGTGCGGCACCAGCGTCCTACCCAGGTAGTCTGCCAATAAGCTGCCCTCTCCAGGGGCGAAGCCTTCAGCGGGCTTCTTTTTGGCACCCTTGACTGGAGGGGGGCCGCCGCCAGCGCCAGGATCTCCAGCGGGCCCGTCGCCACCGCCTGGGCCACCGTCGCCCTCGTCACCCGCGTCCTCCAGGGATCGCAAGCAACGCGAACGCGGCAGATGTGCAGGAGGGGTGCTGAAGGACGAGTAGGACAAGGGTAGGGAAGGGCACTGCGGGGAGCGGATGGAGAGGAGGAGTAATCCTCACCTTCATCCGCATCCCCCTCCCGCCCTTCTACCCATCCGTCCTCCTCGTCCTTCCTCTGCCGCCTCCTCATGCTACTTAGATGTTTCGTCGGTGGAAGGTGGCCCGCGGCTCCTCGTCGCCGAGGTCGTCGGGCAATTCGCCGTCGCGAGGGCCCCCGCCTCCCCCGCCTCTGGGATCGCCACCGCCGCCACCAGCGCCGACGTGCAGTGCCATCCCGTACCGAATACCAGATAAGTGTTTCGCCGTGTAGGTCAGCCCTTCGGCATGAGATCGCTTGATTCTCAATGCAGAATTGTGTCGGGAAGCCCGGCCAGGAGTCCTCAGCACCGCCGTGGCGCTGTCCCATTCGGCGCCCAAGTCTGCGTCGAGAGCAGTAGCGTAGTCATGCACGTCAACCAAGTTCGTATCTAGGCGCATGCTGCTGGCGATCCAAGGGAAGGTAGCCCGACGAGCCCTCAGATGGTGATGTCGGCTCAATGAGTGTGGCCCTTCTGCGACCGTGTCGTCCAATGGTGCATACCTAATGGAATCGACCTCGGACCGCAACAAGGGTGACATGTTTCCACCGTCGCTGTCCATGGCGTCCACCGCAGCTCGCAGTGGAGTGCCTGGCTGTAGAACCGCCAGCGTCGTGGAATCGTGATGTGCAGCAGGGTGGCGGTTGTACATGATCAGGCACTTTTCCTCGATGTCTGGCTGGCCCAATCTCCCAAGGATGTAGGGAAGGTCATCAAGGAATTTCACTTTCAGTGCCCCGAGCGCGAGAGTAGCTCTGGCCATGCCCTGCCCATCCCGCACGAGATGGGTAAACGGGCCGAATCGGCCAGATGTCCACGAGTTGGCCTCGGCCACTCCCGCCCTGAGGGCACTCATTGAATAATCAAAGGCCAGCCCCAGAACGCAGCCCGATCTCTCGCATACGAAACTCTCGCCTGTGTCCCACTTCTCTGGGTGACAGGGGCAATACCCCGCAAAGGCCATCAAGCGACCCATCCAAGACGCAAACCAATGGATGAGCTCGAACTCATATTGAAAAGATGGGCTGGTGAGGGCGCCGAACACTTGATCAAGACGAACCCTGTCTCTCACGTCCCCCAGCGCAGCACGATCAAAGTGACCCCTGACTGACCAAAGAAATGTGCCCAATCCATCAAGGCAGTCCTTGAGTTTTTTCCAACGCCACTCGGTAAACGTAGGGAGCGACACGTTCGTCATGAGCGCGGCCAGGCCGCTGAGCCCAGCCCCCCGCCAGCGCGTGGCCAAGGTGTCCCTGATGCCCTGGCGGTGCTTCTAACAACCTTCTCTCGCGATCCTTCGAGCACCGCGTTGGGCTGTGTGGGGATCTCTCGGAGGCCTCTTGAGTGTCTTGTGGGGCCCTCCTGGGGGCTTCTGAGGGGGTTTCTTGGGCTGCCTGGACATAGTGTGGTTAACTGTGTGGGGCCCTCGTTGGTCCTCAAGCGTTGCGTTTGGATCATTGGGCAGATTTCGCATTGCGCACCGCTCCCCCACCTTCCTTCATCACAAGTGGGGCCTAGGAGCTCTCAGGGTGGCCAAGGAGGGACCCCGTCTTCCACATCCTTCTCCTCGTGCTCCTCGTCCCCGTTGTGTTCGTCGTCCTCGTCTTGTTTGTTGTTCGTGTTGTGTTTATGTTTGCCCTTTTTCATGTTGTCGCGCACGCTGTATATGTTGTAATCGTTCCCCCCTTTTGTCCGTTGTTTTTTTTATGTGGGTTTCTTGTTGTTTTTGTTTAGGTGGGGGAAAGGGTGTTATGTTTATGGTTATTTCCGTGCTCCCTTTCTTGAACGTGTTCCCCCCCTCTTCCCCTTCGGCCCCCTTTCAACATCGTGTTGTTATTATTGGGAGGGGGGTGGCTGGTGGTTTGAGGCCCTGGTGACTTCGTCCCTGAACATCGAGATCAACGCCTTGACCCGAGTCAAGAATCTCGGGAACCATCGGAGGGAGTGCGCGCCCGTACGAATCAACACGTCGATTTTGTGCCTCCACCCTGGGATGATGAGCGACCTCGGGAACAACAGAGGTTCTCGAGCCACCTGCTGCGTGCATCCAAGCTGTGCGAAAAAGTCGGGCAATACGTCATTCATTTTTGAAACCATGTATTCTGTGCCCATGTCGCTCACGATCCCGCGAACTCTATGGCAAAATCGCCGCATGGAGTCCACGGAACCTCCAAAAGACAAGTAGATCTGCCAAAGCAACGCTGCAGTTTTTTGAAATGCGCTCAATTGAGTCCGTTTCAAAAGAACTGGCGAGAACATTCTTCGTCTGAAGTCCGTGCCGTTTCTTCTGATAACGAAGCTAGCCGCCTGCATCTCCCAGCCCCTGCCTTGGGGGCTGCTGTCAATGTATAGGTACACGTCGATGGATCTCCAATCGAGCGTCGCGTAGAAGCGACGCGTGAGGCGCATGCATGCCCAGTCCAGCCGCACCCGCGCCTGACGAAGGGTCTCAGTACGAATGTGATGCAGGGACTGGCGCAACGAGCCACGCTCAATGCCAGCGCAACGCTCAAAGAGGTTGCTCCAATGCTTCCCAGACTTCCATCTGTGCCGAAGTGATCGCAAAGTCGACGATACACCGAGCCACTCGATGGTTATACTAGCAGATAGGCGCCGACGCCGACGAATTGACGTACCACGCGCAGGTGGAGCTCGATCTGGAGCTGCGTCCTGCATGCGCGGAGGGTGCATCCGCCGAAAAAACTGCAATGAACGACGGGTCGGTCCATGATGCAGGCTCTGTCGGAAACGGGATTTCACCGCATCACAATTGAACACAGGCTGTATCATAGAAACAACTCCGACAGCAAGCACTGGGCATAGAACCAACGGGAAATATTCAGCCACGTGTCGGTACGCACGCATCAAAACGCCCAACAAGTCGTGCCATGTACCCACAGTGTGACTCCCGCCATCGTGATACGTGCAGGAAGCTCCATGCAACACGCTTGATATCTCCTCGGCATTGTGGGCGTTACTCTGCACGGGTCTGTCCAACTCGATGGACGCAATGGCTTCGTGTATCAGTGCACCAGATATCTGAAAGCGCCTGGCACCATGCAGCGAGGAGCGAATGATGAGATCTCCGCTCCCGCCAGGCTCGTCCCGAATCTGCAGTGCAGCATCGGTGTCGATGAGTTTCCATTTCCCCACGACAACGCCGAAGAAGCGCCGAACGTTGTCGTCGAAACGATTCCCTGCTGCTGCACGCCTGTACAGTGCAGACCACAGGCCTCCAGACTCACCGAACACGAAAAAGAGCGTGAGGCAGCTCTCCAGGGGAGCCCTCTGCCTGCCAGGAGGCGCAGAGGCTGGTGGGCGCGGCGCTGGCACGCCGACGTGCCCGACGCCATCGTCACCGCAAACGTCGGCGTCCATCTGTGTCGGCCAACGAACGGATGCGAAACAAAATGTGCAACACAATGCGACACAAAGTGCAACACGACCCCGAGTTTGAGCAAAAATATGGCCACGGATATTGTTTCACCACTATGGTTGGTGCCGCGTTGGGCCATCGAACACGGGCCCGAGGTCCCTCACCCGTGCTCTGTTTTATACCCCAGGACTTATCTGACTCAGGACTCTTTCCACCTCCTCCTCCTCCTCCTCCTCCACCTCCTCACCTCCTCATCCTCCTCCGCCCCCTCCTCTTCCTCTCCTCTGGGGACACAAGGCCCTCAAGTGACTGTCTTAGGCCCCGACAGGTCGCACCAAAGAAGGCATAATGCCATCCCCCCGCCCATCGTGCAAGCTTTTTGCCAGGCGTCTTCACTTGAGACATCCAAACGTGCGGGGCGGGCTCAATCAGGCAACGCCTTTCGACCAACCCCATGGCCCGAACATGTTTGATTCACGGTGATGCGGTACTCTGGGTACAACGCGTATACCGTAGCACCGTCTCGCAAAATACATCCATGCGCACTACAGATTACACAGAATTTGTAGAACAACCAAACGCAGCGTTCAATGTTATGTAGTGCTCTCATCATTTAACCTGAACCCTACTGTTCTTGCAGTTTAAGGTATTATTTCTCGTTTTAAGGTAGAAAGCGCTTTTTCCCTTAGACATATTACCATTGAGCGGGAATATACCTTAACCCTAGAAGAGGGTCTAGCCAGTGTCCAAGAGGGGGGGGTGCAAATCATGACCGGCGGCATGTGCGCGGCCCAGCGGGGGGGCCAGGGGCGTAACGAAATGAGAAGAGGCGCCCTGAAATCTGGGGAGATATCATGGCCCGCGCCATGAGATCCACTCCCCCCTAGTCATCACCCCCCTCTTTTCCGCCCCCGCGCACAGAGGGCCGGCCGGCGTGCGCCTGGCAGGGGCGGCACGGCGGCGGCACCCCCGCAGCCGCCGCCGGGGAAGGGCTCCAGGCCCGCCTGCGCGCGAGGGGGGCGCGCCCGCCGTGCGGCACGGGCCCGGCAGCGACGAGAGGCCAAAGTCACGAGCGGCGAGCACGTCCGTGTGCGCGCCCGCGCGGTCTGGGCTCTGGGGCGCGAGCCCGCGGATGCGCGCCGCGCGGTCGCGTGCGTGGATACGCTCCGCGCGGGGCATCCGCGGAACAACGCCCCGCAGCCGCGGTGTCGCGGTCGAGGGGCCCTGCTCGCGCGGCCGCGGGTGCGGATCCGAGGTGTCGCCCACGAGCGGCGGCGAGAGGCCCAGCCAGGCAGAACTCACCGAGGCAAGGCCGAGGCGTGAACATACAGCTCAGAGCCGACTGGGCAGCAGCAGCAGTGAGAAGGAGGGCCGAGCGTCGCTCCGATCGGCTGGCCAATCGAGGGACGCCCGGGCGAAGCGGCACGAGTCTGCGAAGGCCTCAACACTCCGTGGGTGCAGGGCCGCTGAGCTGGCACACGGTCTGGAAGGGAATCCGGCCACGCCGGCGCACAGCGGGCGGGCGGCAGCGCTGGCCTGCTCCCCTCCCGCATGCTCTTCCATCCGGCCTCCCCCTCCTCCGTGCCTCCTCCACCCCTCCCCTCCTGATCCTGGACCTCCATCCGGCCTCCTCCGTCCCGTCCTCCATGCCCTCACCTCCACCGCCTCTTCCTGCTTCAACAGCTACACAGGCTTCGGCCCGATCGGGGCGGCGCTTGTCCCACACACTCTGTCAGTGTACAGGACCCAACGACTTGCGGTGTTGTGCACTTCTCCGCTCGGCACGAAGCTGGGATATGCGAAACGGTAAACTTGTGTTCCCGCTGCAGCCCCGGCTATATTTCAGGATCGGCGCTTTGCGCCCGTCGTTCAGCATGGTGCCCTCGCGAAAGCACGAGCCACATTTCTGGATCCGATTCCTTCCTCGTTGTTGTCCCCCCTTCCTTTCCCCTCCTCCGCCCTCCCCTGGTCCTCCTAATCCTCCAGTGCCTCCCGCTCCTCCTACTCCTGCTCATGCTGCTGCTCCCTTTCCTCCCCATCACTTGTCCTTGTCCTGCTGCTCATCCGCCACCTCCCTTTTGCTTGCGCATCACACAATGAAGTTACGTGGCGGATCCAAGTCCGCTAGGAAACAGATCGGCGGGTAGAGAAACACCAGCGCAATGGGAAGGGATAGGTGGGAAGGGTAGGGTGCCGAGTATGCCGCTCGAACGCACGCACGCGCGTAATTAGCCTGCCCATCCCCCTCTATCCTCCAACTTCTCGTCGCCCTCCCCCTCCGTTCAACCTGGACCTTCCCACCATCACGATCTTTCCCCTGAGATCCGACGTCGCGAAAACATGGAAGATCTGACAACAAATCACGACCAAATCCCCAGACCCCAATCTTCCTGTGCTTTTCTTCGAGCCAGATCCATCTGTGCTGGTCCTGTGGGCCTAAATAAAGCAGAATCGCCCCTCATGCAAAATGCGCAACGCCAGAATCTCAAGGTCCATGCTCCACTCCCCCCTCCTGATCTGTGCCCCTCCCAACAGATGAGACCTCGGCGATCTCCGCGAACCTGGCGGCGGTCGAGCCCTCTGTCGGGGCCACCTCGGAGCAGGATTCGGCCAGGGGAGGCGCGAGGGAGGGGCGCGGAGGGACGAGCAAAAAGGCAGGGCGTCAAGGGGGAGGAATGGAACGGAGCGTGACGCCGCTTGCCTTGTCAGAGCTACGGAGCTAGAGCTACACCTGGCTCGGAGGAAAAGCCCGCAGGGGAGCACTGGGCGAGGGGGGAGGAGCGGAACGGAAGGGAACTCCTCTTGTCTTGTCAGAGCTGCGGAGCCACAGCTACAGCCGAAACTGTCGACAAGAAAAGCATGATTTGAGAAAGAGCACGGGCCAACTTTCCAGACGTTTCTCCAAGCACTCCTCCTCAAGCGATGCAGCCGGACGGGAAGTAAAATAACTTCGTGATGGACTCGAAAGTTCGGAGGGAAGCCACTTCCCGCTGATCCCTTCACTAGCGATGGGGGGGATTCCCGGGAAGGGGGGGCATCGGAGGGGGGCCCGGAGTCCCGGGGGGGGCAGTGGGGGGTGTCCCAATGGGCCATTGGTTGTTTTTTTTTTTGGAGGGGGGGAGGGTCCCTCGTGGGGTCTGGGAGTCGTGAGCACCTTCCCCCTGGGCGGCCCGCCCTGGACGATGGGGACGAGGGGGTGGTCCCATTGTGGACAAGGAGGCCAACCCCCTCCTCCAGGGACCGCCCCCTCCTCACCTTTACCTGCTGTTGCGGGCTTCTGCGGAGTTGAACACGCGCCTCCAAGGGCCCTCAAATCCGCTCCGAGGTGTCTCCAGGCGGAAACGGAGCTTCTCAACAAGTCCCCCAGTAACAGAACCAACAGCACACACACACACGGACTTACAGACAGTCCCCAAAGAGCAGAACCAACACCACACAAACACACTTACGGACTTACATACACAGACACACGCACACACGCACACACGCACACACACACACACAAACACACTCACACACGCACACACACACACACATTCACACCATTCACCAGTAGCAAGATCGTGATTCACAACCTCTGATACCTCAATGCAGGCACTCCGCCGAAACCAGGGTCGATCACCGCGAAGTGACGCGGGGCCCGCGTGCCACACGGAAGGTCCACGGCGATCTCCGGAGGCTCCTCCACGGAGGCACCCCAGAGGTATTGTGAAACTCAGAACGGGCAAGAAGCGTAAGAAAAAAAACAATCCCACCTTCCGGCACGGCCAGACCGACCCATTCCATGACGAGCCCCTTTAACGACGACCCACCGCGCCCTCCTCCTTCTTCCCGTCCTCCTCCTCCTCCTCCTCCTTCTCCTCCTCCTCCTCCGCCTCCTCGTCAAAAGCTGTTCGCACGCTCTGCACCTCCTGAGGTATCCACCGTGAACGTTTTCTGTTTCGGCGTTTCGACATTGAGCGAAAGGGGGGGAGGGGAGGTGTCTGGCTCCATACCCCTGCTTAACGCGACTGTTTGCAACAGTGCGTGCTATGGGGAAGACTCCCCCTGCTTGAAACAGGCGCCAAAAGCAGCCAAGATCTACTCCATGGGGGGGGGGTGCGAGGGCCCGCGCCGATCGGCAACACAACGAATTAGAAAACGATCACCAACCCAGACATCCGACGTTCGCTTTGGTATCTCAACACGCGGTCTCCGAAGCCCCGACCTTTTCCTCGAGGACGGCTTCTCATGTCGAATCAATGTATCGAACTTCCTAGACCCGGCGAAGGTCCCTAAAAGCGGAAAACGATTGGGGGCCACAAAAACCGCGTGGTGACGGAACGCGTGGTGACCTCGGAATCCCCAAAGGCATCACCGCATGGTCCGTTACCGCACGGTCTTGGGACCTCGGATGCACCAGTCGCTCGAGAAATCCTCGCTGAACGACACGAGTCCCAAAACTGCGTGGTGACCCCCAATCCCCACTGACTCACCACGCTGTGTGGTCACCACACCGTTTGTGGGAAAACCAAAACGTACCATTAGAGTACCTCTTGAGGCATACTGCTTCTGGCCCACAACCCAGGTCAAAAGGATCCACGCCTAATAGGATCGATCTGGCCCAATGGATACCACCCAAAACCCAGGCCACGGAACCCCGAGCAGCATCCGAGAGTCCTCTGATCCAAACCCAGGCACGGTGGCGGGATGGGCCGACAGCCATTCGATAAACAACTATTGCGCGCCGCTTGCGGCTTTCATGATGTCCATCATAACGTCTGGTCAGCCAGGGCGCTGGCGAACCCAACAGACGGGCAGCGGTGGGTCGACGCTCTATCCAATTATGTTGTGTCTTCGGGAGACCACGTCTGTCTCATCGCGCCGCTATCCGCGTCGAATCCGCGCCAAATCGAGGCCGAGTGCGTCGAATGTCGAATCCACGTCAAATCCACGTTGACCCGCGTCGAACTCACGTCGGAAAGAAGAACCTACCGCCACTGCTGTACGGGTGAGGTCCCCCGAAGATGAGACTTGAGCCTGACATTGTCAGAATCCTGGTGTGCAGTGTCCAGAGTCCTGGAGCCTCCCCCGCCACCTGTCGCCACCTCCCACAGAGGTCCGACATCTTCATCCTTCCCACTGCGGCCGCCCCAGGAGTCCCGACCCCTTTGCAGGGGGCGGCTTCTCCTCCTGAGCCGCCTTGTGGGCCCCCCCGCGAGGCCGCAAGCGAAGAAGACCAGCGGTACAGCTCTGCCCCGAACAGCTTGCCGGCAGGGCACTTCGCTGCCGCATCAGAACAGCACAGTAGAACGCACGTCGCTGCCACACGTGCTCTCTCTAGAGTGCTCTCTTCAGTGCTACCCTTAGGCGCTGGTCGGGGCCTCCTGCCGCCCAGGGTGCGACGTTCAAGACTGCGTGCGGACATGGCACCTCGACGTCTAGGGGGGTGAAGGAGGAGGAGGAGGAGGAGAGGAGGAGGAGGAGGAGGAAGACGAGGAGGAGGAGGAACTGGCTGGCAGGTTCACTCACTTTGTGCTTAGCGCTGTCGCTGCACGTAAGGTTCCTCCAAATGCGACAATAGAGAACTATCCGGCGCAATGGTTTCCCAATCCTCTCCAGAAGCTGCGTGGATACATTTTGCTATGTCGTCGAGCCACCTTTTTGTCGTGTCCTTGGTCCTTGATTGACCCAGGGGGTCTAGCTGAAAGGGGGTGGTGCAAAGGTTTGGGGAAATTGTATTGCTAATGTAATGCGCCAGAGAACTGGCTTGCCTTGTACTGCATATACTGCATTACACACGAAAGCCCAGCAAAACATCTGCGCACTGGAACGTACTGCACGCCCCAGACCTGTTGCATCTGCATCCCCGCAAGTCGATTGCACCAGATCTATTGCACCACCCTGTCTTGGCTGGACCCCCTTGCGGGTCCACCAGAGTGTCGCTCTCGGGGGTGGAGGGAAACATAGTCATATGTATATCTATATGTATATATATATATATATATATATTGAGAGAGAGAGAGACAGAGAACAAAAAAAAAAACATCGCCCCCAGTCTATCTCATGACTGTTTTGGACTATTTCTCCTGGTCGGGGACATGCCCGACTTACGCTTTGGGCCCCTCCGTGCCCTCTGGCGCGCACGCACCTCCGGGGCCTGCGCCTATATGAAGGGGCCCAAGGACACACACACACACACACAAAAAAAAAAAAACAAATAACACACAATAACATATTCCCCATAATTTCATATTTTCCAGGTTTTTGTCTTCCCCCCCACTTCCCAAATAAAAATATCTCCCTTATTTTCCTATAAGTCCCCACATTAAGGTCGTTTTGCCCTCCTACGATGGCCCTCTCGCGCAGACAGAGGCGGCCGACCGCCGCGCAGCAGCGCCGGCGCACAGTAGTGGGCCACTCGCTCCGGGGGGCCTGCGGCGAGCCGCACTCCGGTGTTGTGTCTCCCTCGTCCTCCCTCCTCCTCCTTCCCATCCCTCCCGCCGCATCCCCCTCCTCCCCCTCCTCCGCCTCCTCCTCTGCCTCCTCTCTACTCCCCACCTCCTCCTCCTCCTCCTCCCTCTGCCTCCTCCTCCTTCTCCTCCTCCTTCTCCTGCCTCCTCCTCCTCCTCCTTCCTCCTCCTCCTCCTCCTTCACCTGTCCCTTTCTACTCCACCTCCTCCTCCTCCTCCTCTCCTCCTCCAACTCCCCTCCTCCTCCTCCTTCTCACTCCTCCTCCTCTCCTCCTCTCCGCCTCCTCCTCCTCCTCCCCCTCCCCTCCTCCTCCTCCTCCTCCTCCTCCTCGCCTCCTGCTCCTCTTCTCCTCCTCGCCCCCTCCTCTTCCTCCACATCAAACCTCCTCCCCTCCTCAAACCTCCTCCTCATCCTCCCCAGCATCCCCGGCGGCCTGGTTCTTTCAGCCTCCGTCGCTGCTTCTGTGCTAGGTCGGCCTCCCGGTGCCACTGGCCCCGCGCGGGGGCGCCGACAAGGCACCCGCGGGGCGAACAGGCTGCACCGGCCGGCGGCAAGGGTCGCGGGATTTCTGGGGCCGCGGCCTGCAGAAATCCCAGGCGTGCGAGGGCCTGCTTTTTCACTGCGCGGTCGCCGGAAGCCCCGATTCTCCCCCCTTCAGGGCCAGCCGTTCCTCCAGGGCCGTTTTTGGTCGGCCCACGGCCTGGTCAGGGTCCCCAGGAGCCGAAAACTACGGGGAGGGCATGGAAGGATCGGCGGCGAGCGTGGGGGGGAAGCGAGAAGGAGAGGGCCCTCTCAGAAGGCGGCGGGACTTCTCAGAAGGCCCGGCGCCTTCTGAGAGGTTCTCTCTGTCTTCGGGGATGGCTTAGAAAACTTCTCAGGAGGCTGGGGGACTCCCGAGCCTTCTGAGAAGGCTCGCCCCTTCTCATTTCCCCCCCTAGCTCGTGGCCGAAATAAAAAACTCTGTAGATAAGGAGGCCACGTCTTCCTGTACCACCGACCTCTTATCACGCATCCCGTCACCCTCGAGGGCCGAGGCATCCTGGATCGGCGGCACGGGCCGCAAGGCCTTAGCAATAAAACAACTCTGTAGATAAGGAGCCCAGGGTCTCAAAGCCACTCGAGCACCAACCGAGGCCTGGCCGCGGAAATCACCGCCGCCCTCACTGGACAAGGAACCCTCTCCTGGGCCCATTCCTCAACGAACGCCCCGAAAAACCGCCGTCCTGATTGTCTAGGACGTTGCATGTCTGGGATCGCATCGTCGGCTGGCGGCTGGCTGCTTCCGCGATCCCGTGGGCGGTCCGCCCGCTCCTGCCCCAGCATTCCGTGTGGGCCACCTGCAGCGCGGCCTGCGACAGCACTCCTGCAGCGCGGCCTGCGACAGAGAGTGGGCCAACAAAACAGCCTCTCTGCCTGCTCCTCGCCCCTGGGAGGGGACCGCCACGGTGGGGGGGGTCGGCCAATCACCTCACGCACGGCAGGTTCGTGTCGTGCCGCCTTCGGCGCTGGTTCCTGACACCGCGGGGGTCGTTCAACCCTGAACGAGCGGCCGTTTCCGAAGCGACTCGACCGGTTCTAGGTCGCCGGCGGCGTTCCACGTTGAACGCGGGCGACGGGGTCGCCGCCGGTCGACTCGACGCGAACCTGCCGTAGCTGGTTTTCCGAGCGCCTCCTGGCGCCAGAGGCGCCAGTGTATCGAGAAACGCGCCCGGAGGCGGCGCCGAAGCCGGATGCCACCAGCAGAATTCGCCCTCCCCCTTCCCCATCCCCCCCTTCCGTCCGAACCGAGTCCTCTCCTGCGTCCTCATCTCCAGTGTCCGTGGCTCGAGGATCGGTCGGCCATGTTCAGCCCATGCCGGGCCCGTGGAGGCCTCCCGAGATCTCCTGGTAACTCGTCTTCCTCGTCGTCGACCACGTCTTCCCCGTCGTCGTCGTCGTCGTCGTCGTCGTCGTCGTCGTCGTCGTCACCGTCAGCGTCGTCGTCGTC